GCCAGTTTCACACACCATTGTTCTCCAAACAGGAAACCATGGACTCTGAAAGCGTCAAACAAAGCACATCCTCGCCGAGCATGAACAGCCAACTCCTTGGACAACACATGGACACTTTACACAGCTGCTTCACAGGACAGACAGCCCTCTGTGACAGATTGAAGTCATTAGGCAACGCCTCTCATTCCAGTTTTGCTCTCCTTCCATTTCAAGTTGCCCCGAGGAAAAGAGGTCGATGGCAGTTGGTGCCTGCCCCGAAAATTCAGACAGCCAACTCTGTATCTACATAACTTTTTTTTGTAAAGTAAGCAAAAACCATCGCTGGTTCATTTTTTTTCAACAAAAAAGCACAATTTCACGTAGGAAATTGGCTTTCGGCAGTGGTGAAACTGTTGCACTACCTTGCTGGTTACGGAGGCCACGTAATACACTGTACATTCTTTGCCTACTTTCTACTTAAACAAAGGATAAGTTCATCAAAATCGTGATCGTGCACCCATTTCAGTGATTTTAATTTTTATCAAGTGTCAATTTTACATAAAACTAGGCAAAGCAGCTTTTAAGCATCAAGGCAGATCGCTGCCATTTGATCCCTGTGTGCTGTCCCATATTTTATGCTTAGCTACTTAATCCTGTAATTTGTTTACAGCTGAATAAAGGACATTTAATCGGAACTTTTTTTAAAATAAAGAATGTAATGAAATCCATTATTGGTCAAATGCAGTTCGACAATCACAGCATTCAAAGGGCATTTCCAAATGCTGCCAAATCTACTGGGACTGAGTTAGGAATTGAAAGGGGAAAGAAAGTCTAGAAAAGAAACACTTAGAGGTGCAAACTTTCTGTCTTTAAAAATCTGCATTTCTTTCTTTACCTGAGAAATATTAACAGAAATTAACACCATTTCACAGAATCACAGCACAGACCAGTTGGCTCATTGTGTCTGCATCGGTGCTAGCTTCAGCTCCCTCAATTAAGTCGTCAATACCATTTAAAACTCCATTTTTATTCCACCCGACTTCCCCCCACTGCACACCAAATGTCACTTACAATTGGCTATCTGAAGCACTTTGGAGAAAATAGAAACCAAGTAACAAAGAGTTTTCAGCTACATCTGTCGAGATTTTATTCATTGGGCTTCTAGCAGGAGAGCTCAGCAACTCACTTACACAATAACTCATTACACAACAACTCAGATTTATACAGTACCCTTCACGCGGTTAGCATATTGGAGTGCTTAAACAATAATTGTCTACACAATTAACAGACACCTAGTAAAATAAGTCCACACCTATCAAAACACCTTTCAGACAAAATACAATTTTAAAAATTAAAACAAAGGTCAGTAGGCGTCAAGATAAAATAACTTTTACCAAGGCACCTCCATCCAAATAAAAATTTGCACTTTTGATGTCAGTTTTAAAAATTTGAATTTGAGGATTAACACAGAACAAAGCCCGTGGCTGACTGAGCTCCCAGTTGAATGTCAGGCTGAAGAAAAAGCAGGTTTGAAACAAAAAAACACAACTGACATGGTTTTGGTGGGTTGAACAAAAACACTAGTTCTTGCACATCATCTGAAACATTTCATAAAAAGACAAAGCCTCTCAATTACACAATGCAGCTTCTGGACAAAGAAACAAAGGATTTGGGCCTTGAGTGAAGTGGCATTGGAGACAAAAGTCACAACTAGAGATAAAAGTCAAATGGAAAATGATTTTTTTAAATTACAATGTTTTGCTTAAAATGGAGAGTATTCAGCTAACTGAGGAAATCTTAAAAAGGACCTCCCAAAATTAAGACTAAATAGAAATGTAGGCACTGGGTTGGGCCCAGACACCAGGGTGGGAAAGCTGAATACAAGTTATATTGAAAAAAATACATTTAAAACAGACTGGATTGCATGGATGTACATTGCAAAGGTTGAAGAGAAAACAAGAAAGTGTTAAGTGGAAAAAACAATCTGAAACAGATGGATGAATCTTAATCTAATAATAAATTACTAAATGAGATCAACCCTTCAACCTTCAAACAAAGGAAGGAAATGGGGTACCATATCATACAGTAAAAAAGCACTAACATGCAAATACTTCCTCTCTATAGAGTAGGGAACAAACAACTTGTGCAATATCACCCAGAGAACCTGAACACAACTCAGATTTACAGATGCACTGTATAACTGGGGGCTATAGTGTGTCATGTCTTTTTGATTTGAGTTCCTCAAAAAACACTGTGCAATCTGTAACCTGAAATTACCATCGATCATTGTTCAAACAGATCCAACCCTAAAGTTACCAAACAGGAATCAGTCAAAATAAACAAAAAAAAACAAATGAATTTAAAAATACATAATTGAAAACAGGACTTCTATTAATGTCAAGAAAAGTAAAACTTATAAGACAATTTTTCTTTGCATTTCTGCAATTCCCGCAGTTATACAGTGCATCTGTAAATCTGAGTTGTGTTCAGGTTCTCTGGGTGATATTGCACAAGTTGTTTGTTCCCTACTCTATAGAGAGGAAGTATTTGCACTTTAGTGCTTTTTTACTGTATGATCTGATTTAGTAATATATGGTACCCCATTTCCTTCCTTTGTTTTGGACATTCGGAAATGTTTTTTGATATGCAGATCCAATTTCAAAAGCTGTACAGCACATTTGAAAGGGTCAACATTCATCAAAAAAAAAGGATAAATGACAAACAGCAATTCTGATCAGACACTCGATGTTCTCTGTTAATCATCGAAAATGTCCATTCGTAGTCTGTGAAATTTACTGAGGTTCAATTCTGATTTCCCCCATTGATTCAGAGATCCAGGTCGATTGTGATAATGTTTGCTAATGGCCTACTGGATATCAATTAGTGTTGCTCTATTATCCAGGTACAGCTGCCTGTTAATCAAAATAGCTTAGCTATAAATCTTCGATGTACGGCATCTAAATATGTTACTGTTTATTGTCCAGCACATGAAAAATACTGCACAGTAAGTTTGACCGTAAACATCTGTTGTCCTTGCTGCTTTATCACTCAACTGGCCCCAGGAATTTCTTCCAGTACAGCATGTACACTCAGGTGAATACAGCGCTAACATACATATTGCAACATACTCGTTCTGCCCTGAAAGTGCTTCACACAACTGGTGGATGGGAGCACAAACCTTGTGGGGGGGGGGGGGGGGGGGCGCGGGGGGAGAGAGAGAGAGAGAGAGAGATTGAAGAGAAAAGATTCCAAAAGCTTGGTTGAAGATACTGTATATAAGGTACCCGGCCATCAAGAATCAGGCATTAAATCTTACTGCTGGGTTTTATTCTTTGATATTTACCATTTTCTCGCTCAGTTATTGCTTAATTTATGAGTTTGACGTGGCTGACGTGTTAAGGCTTTTGGGTAGTTAACCTTGCAAAATATTAAAAAGCTCTTCCATTTGTAACTGTTGTGGGCCGACATTGGCACCCAATTATATTGCTGCAAGACACCACCAGAAATTAGCATAGGCTTTTTGTCCGCTGAAACACTACGGCTCTGGCCCAGGTACCCAGCGTTCAGAAGGTCAATATTTACACTATTTTTCAGAAGGCTTGTCTTTTGGATAAACAGACATCTCTGATTTGAAAGGGACTGCAACCATTATGTGTCAGAAAGAGCTGACATTCCCTTACCGAGTTGGCTCATACCAGGAAATAATTTGATTATTCAAAACACACATTCCTCCCACAATCCACTTCTTTCACACAAACAAAACAAATCTTTTTTTTGCAATAACAGCCCCCACCTCCCTCCCTTTTGGTAAAGCAACAACACCCTGAACTCTTGGCTATTGATGATTTATTAGGTCTGCTTCAACGTTATCAAGACAGTGAAAAGATTGCTGCAATTCTGAACCTCCCTTATATAAAATTCCCACAGCTCGAATCCCCAAGAGTATTAGTTCATACTGATCAGCTGTCTTGTGTGTTTTTTTTTAAAAAAAACAGCCAATTTGCTCCGCTCCCTTTGAGGATTTCTCCTCCTCTCCTACTCCCTCCCTTGTTGTCCATATCTGATATTCAATCCCTGGCTGGACTGATGGATTATTGGAGCAGTCCATCTGTTGTGCTGAAATGCACCAGGCATTACTCCAGTGCCAGCCAGCCCGCCCCTCTACGAGATAATAATGATCCTTGCATTCGATAGAGCGCCTTGTCACGTCTGCAAGACGTCTGAAAAAGCGCTTCACAGGCCAAACTGTAAAGTGAATTGACTGCATATTTTGTGGGCGAAACACGGCAGCCGACTGCACACAGCGGCATCCCACGAACAGTCACGGATTGAGTGACCAAATTATTATTATTTTTTGAAGCAATTATGGATGGATGGATGGATGGATGGATGGATGCCATGGACTCCTTCTCTGGACGTTCAGACAGAGTAGGGCCGGTGACAGTTTTTTTCTCTCTCTCCAAAGCCATTATTAGCCCACTACCCTGGGCTTGGGAGATGCCAAACAGAGAGGACCAGGGACACCTCTGACACACATTTTTCTTGGAAGCCCCTACTATCACCAGGGCTGTGATTGTTCCCCCCCCTCCCCCTAGATTCCACCCCACCCTCCTCTCTCCCCTACATTCCACCCACCCACCCCCGCGTTACCCCAGATCCCCCCTCCCTCTCCCCTAGACCCCCCCTCCCTCTCCCCTAGATCTCCCCCTCCCCCTCCCCTAGATCTCCCCCTCCCCTAGATCTCCCCCTCCCCTAGATCTCCCCCTCCCCTAGATCTCCCCCTCCCCTGATCTCCCCCTCCCCTAGATCTCCCCCTCCCTCTCCCCCAGATCTCCCCCTCCCTCCCCCTCCCCAGATCTCCCCTCCTCCCCCAGATCCCCCCTCCCTCTCCCCCAGATCCCCCCCTCCCTCTCCCCCGACCCCCCCTCCCTCTCCCCCAGATCCCCCCCCTCCCTCTCCCCCAGATCCCCCTTTCCCATAGACACCCCCCCCCTCCTCCTCCTCCTCCATTGAGTTCTTACCCAGGTAAATGTCTCCGAAGGACCCACTGCCGATCTTCCTGCCGAGCCGGTACCTGTTCCCCACTCTCAGCTCCATGGTGGTGGTCGTCTCAACCGGCCTCGGCTGCCGCTCGAACGTGACGCCCCCCTCCCTCACCCACTGGGCTTTTTACCGAGACCTCTTCCCCCACAAGCGAGAGAACCTCCCCGTGTGTGGTGTGTGTGTGTGTGTGTGCGCGCGCGTCTCCCCCTCCCTCCCTCTCCCTCTCTCTCTCCTTTTCCCTCACAGGGCGCTTTTCACCATCGCTTTCCTCGCTCCCCGCCCGCCGCCCGCCGCCAATACTCGCACCGAACGACTCGCTGGGCGCTGGAGGTTATGCTCCGCCGGCTCCCGCTACCATTCTGTCCGCCTGCGCGCAGGATTGAATCGGATGCTGAGAGCCCTCTCCCCCTCTCTCTCTCTCTTCCCCCTTTCCCCTCCCCCCTCCCCTCAGCTCCCTACTCCGCCATTAACGGGTGCTCACAGGGCGGCCCGACGTCACTTCCGCCGCCTGACGTCACTGGAGTGCCCAAGGGGGGGAGGGGCGGGGCAAGGAGGGAACATGGCTGACGTCATCCCACTCATGGCTCACTGCTTGGGATGGGCTCAGGAGTGACACATGGGGTTGGGGCAAAGGAGGAGGAGAGTTCTGGTGATATTACTGCCACTAATAATAACATTGGGCCATTTAACCGGTGGAGTTTGTTTTTTTTTGTCTGGCGCCGAGTAATGTGCCTCCCCTCTCTGGTCCTCAGGTCGTCGACCTCTAGAGACGTGAACCTCTCGGCTCTCCATAGATGCTGCCTGACCCACGTCAGATGCTCGCTGCTTCCCCTGATTTTTCATTCCTGCGTGCGGTGTTTAACCCAGCAGCAGGGTGGGAACCCGCTCGTCGTCGGTCGGCAGCGGATCGCTTCTCCGGGGATAATAATTCCTTCCACAAAATATATATATATATGTTTGGTCGATCGATCCACTGTTGTTTGTGGGGAAGTCGCTGCGCGCAATTGGCTGCCGCGATTCGCCCACAAAATACACAGTCAATTCACTTTACAGTATATTCTCTGAAGAGATTTGAGACGTCTCGAAGACAGGATAAAGCGCTATATCCTGTCTCCGGCTCCGGTCTGCTCCACGTCCCCCGCCCCAACCGCCCTACCATTGATGGCCGGGCCTTCAGCCTCTCAGCCCCGAGGCTCTGGAACTCCATCCCCCGGTGCCTTCGCCGCTTCCTCCCTTTCCTCCTTCAAGGCCGGTCTCAAGACCTTTCTCTTTGGCCGTACCTTCAGCTCCCCTCTCGACTCTCTACCCCCTCCTCGTTCCCTTCCCTCCCCTCCTTCCCCTCATCCTGACCATTTCCCCCCAATGCTCGGGTCCTGACCCAATTGTCCAGCGCCTTGGGACGTGCTCCCGACGTGAAAGGCGCTCTATAAATGAAATCTTGTTGTTGTTGTATATCAAATGCAAGGATTATTATTCAGATTTTCAGCATCTGCAGTATTTTGCCTATTGACAAACAATAGCCTGCTGCGATCTCATAAAGCAACATGCCAATAGCGAAGCAAGTTCCTCCCCAACTCGCCACCCTGAGGTGTGTGATTGTTTTGCTCATTGGCCACGACAAAATTGGAGATAATTTTGTGTCTGAACGTTACCGTGAACGTGGGGGAGGGGGAGGGAGCAGCATGAGAAATTTCATCTCCTCCAAAGTCAATCTAAGTAAGATAACGGGCAAATGAAAAGTTGAATCATAAATCGAGGAGCCTTCAGCTCTACTGTTTCTGCTGGTTTAAAATATGGTCTCGGGCACAAACGATTCAAAAATTGGCTGGAAGAATCCATCTGTTAAAAGTCTTATTTAAACCCCTTTTTAGGATGAATTTAGAAGTACTTGCACTTATACAGCCACCTTAGCACACTTCACTGGTAATCACTGACAGCTGTAATGATTAGCTTTTATAGGCAAATAAATATTACAAAAAACATGTAGTATCGGTGTCATAATGGCTTCATGTGCAAATAGCACAATGAATGAATGTAGATCTCATTGCTGGAAACCGTGGTTGAAGTAAACAGCATATATGTATTTAAGAGAAAACTTAATGCATACATGAAGAGGAAGGGAAGGAATGGAGTGGGGATTGAGTATAAACACAGGCGAGGACTAGTTGAACCAAATTGCATGTTTCTGTGCCATTTCACTATGTAACTCATATACCTTGATGTGTGTCACTTTATTGTTTCAAACTGTACCCTATTTGTTAATTTGCATTTTTTGTGAAATGTAACGTTCAAGAAATTTAACAATCCTTGCTGTTGATACAGCGCCTTTCGCATTGGCAGGACGTTGAATCATAAATCACAGGAATAACTAAGTGCAGTGACTGTATTTTGATGGCAAGTGAGGCAGCTTTGTACTATATTTTGTACTTGATGCTTCTGCCTGGATGTTGATGTAAAGGCAAAGGAAGGAAACTGTTGCTCAGTCTTAATATAACCCTCACTTCTACTTCTATAGCTATGAGCAGACATTGTGATTGTATGGACAGTCATGGTCAGTGGAAGATAAATTATCACAAAATAATATAAAAATGGTAATATATAGCTGTTATACAGTGCCTTTTGGGTAGGTTAATGTCCTAATGCATTTTACAGAGACAGAGTTGAGGAGTGGGTGACTGAAGTTGACTGAAGGTATGGTCGAAGGGGTAAATTCTTTGCAAGGTGTTCCAGTTTTATTTTCTCCGATGCCTTTCTTAAACTTGTTGGTAGATTCTTGTATTTCTTGTATCACTGGCCCTATTGTTCCTATTATTCCTTGACATCGTCGGTGTGTTTATTATGTTAAGCTTAATTTTTTGTCTCGGTTTATAGCAATTCATTGGCACATAAGTTCTTGTGACACTTATTGCGATAAGGTATCAGTTTCCCCAGCTTATTAAAGTATTCTACATTTCTTGAAATTTGTACGTTTTGTGCGATTTTTTTCCAAAGCACTGTATATGTGTTTTCTGATTGAGTTTGTGACCTGGGTTTGAGTTTGAGTTTGTTGGTCTTATTGAATGTTTCTCCGTTGCCATGGTAGCAAAGCGTGTTAATGTGGTGGGCTGAATTTAAATGCCTCTAGGAAGCTGTTAAGCATGTTTATAGGCAGAGTTCAATGAACTTGCAAAGTCAGATTTGGTACTGAAATAGGACCATTAAATATCCAATTGTTACGTAATGGGTGCTATCGAGCTCGTTTAGCGTTTTACCCACAAAATAGACAGTCACTCCACTTTACAATGTATTCTGTGAAGCGCTTTGAGACGTCTCAACGACGTGATAAGACGCCACATCAAATGCATGGATTATTATTAGTGGTAGTAGCAAGAGAAATTGTTGTTGAAATGCATCAAAACATTTCACAAAGAATTACTGTAATGTAAACTTGTAGACAAATGCACAGACATTTCACACAAAGCAATGTCTCAGAAAAGACAGCCATGAGGTGATGTCTTGGGACGTCCTCCCGACTTGAAAAGCTCTATACAAATGTAATTTTGTTGTTGTTGAAGTGCGACCGAGTTTTGTCTGGAAGATTGTTGGCCAGGAAACTGGGAGAATCTCCCTACTGTTTCCAAATAGTGCTGTAGGATCTTTGACATCCACCTGAACGGGCAGTAATTTTCATACAGAAGTTTTTTGCCCTTGTTAAATCTTGTTTCTCTGTTTGATGATAGTGCCAGTGGGCTGTGTGAGTGCTTTGTGAGTTTGAAGGCAATAGGGAGGGGTTTCTAGTGACTAATCCCTCTGAAGGCCTTTGGCAATGTTGGATTATGTAACTTCACAAAACTCTTTAGTAGTGTCTCCTGGGCTAGGCGTTTCCAGTGGTTTCTTCAGTGAATGCTCTGAGGTACACCTGACTAATATGCTGACAACACAGGTGTAAAAATGATCGGGATTGTGTAGGAGACTTGGAGCAGTGGGCCTGAAATCTACACCGCTAAGGCAGAATTTATTGTTACGTATTTTAAAATTATATCCCAAAGTAACTTAACTCGATTTCCCCATAACACTTAGAGAGAGCCCTGACATTAGGGGGTGTGGGGGGGGGGCAAACGTTATTTCAAACAGGAAAATAAACAATGCTTCAGCAGATAATAATTCTTGCGTAAGGCATAGCATCTTATCACACTGATACACCTCAAAGAACTTGACGCAGTATGTGTCGTGCAGGCAAGCACACCATCTGATGTGCAACCAGTGATGCCCCACTGAGATCAAATGAGTTGACTGTCCAGATTTAATGGTCAATTTGTCTGAAGGGGGAATGTCGGCCAGGACACTGGGAGAATAGTACTCATTGCTGTTCAGTAATTGCACCTTGGCAGTATCCTTGTGCCCTCATCCCTTCCCCCTCTTCCCAGAACTGTGATAGGGCCCCCTAGTCCTTACCTTCCACCCCACCAACTTCAACATCCAACAAAGAATTCTCCGCAATTTCCGGCACCTCCAGCGTGATCCAACCACCGAACATATCTTTCCCTCCCCTCTCAGCATTCCGAAGGGACCGTTCCCTCCGTGTCTTAATGGTTCATTTCTCCATCACCACCAACAGTTGCTCTCCTCCCCACCGGCACCTTCCTATGCCAGCACAGGAGATGCAATACCTGCCCTTTCACCTCCTCCTATACCATTGTCCAGGGAGGGTCCCAAACACAGTTTTCAAGTGAGACAGCAATTTCCGTGCACTACCACCAATGTAGTTTACTACATTTACTACATTCACTGCTCATCAGTACTTGGGCAGATTTTGTGACCGATTTGCCGAACACCTCCGTTCCTTCCGCAAGCACAACTCTGAGCTTCTGAGCTTCTGGTTTCTTGCCACTTTAACGCTTCCTCCCACTCGCACTCCCTCTTCATCCACGGTCTCCTACATTGTTCCAATGCACCACAGCGCAAGCTCGAGGAACAGCACCTCATGTATCTGCTAGGGACCTTACAGCCCCTCTGGCCTCAATACTGATGTCAATAATTTCAGACCATAACAGCTCACCTTCCCCCTCTCCCTCTTCTGTGACCATTACCACATAATCTCGGTCCCAGACACACGTTTTCTCTTTCTGGTCTGCCTGTTTTGTTGGAATTTCCCCCAGTTTTGATGAGGAACCGAACTCGAATTATTAACCTTTCCTCTTCCAGATCCCGATTGATTTTTTTATAATCTCTAACGGACGTTGATGAGCTGAGTAAGTTCCTGTTTCTATCTGATTTGAGGTATTGCTCAATATTTCCCCAGTGCTAAAACCCTATCGATATCAAAGGAGGAATAAATTACCAAATTCCACCAAGACTTAGCCTGCAAGTCAGTTTTGCCTCAAAGTTTAGAGGAGGGGGGGGGGGGAAATTGTGGAAAACTCAATCAAAAAAGAAAAGTTCAGTCCCAATTTGGAAGCAGGTTCTTTTTAAAGGCTAAATTTAAGAATTTCCACAATTCTGCACAATCTGAACTTTTAAGGCAAAATGGTGCGCAGGCTAAGACTAGGTGAAATTTGAAGCCCAGGAGCTCGGCAGCAGGAAACCTAGATTTTTCAAAGGATGTCAGCGACATCTGCAGGAAAAAGGTGGCGCTACATCAATCACCAGCGAGGCTCCAAACTATATATAACAACCCTTGCATTTGGTATAGTGCTTTTCACGTCTTCAAGACATCTCAAAGTGCTTCACAGAATATACCGTAAAGTGAATTGACTGTATACTTGTGGGCGAAACACGGCAGCCAATTGCGCACAGCAGCGTCCCCACAAACAGTCGTGGATTGAAGTGGCCAGTTTATTATTTTTTTTCTGCAGGGATTATTATCAGGCGTGTGGAGTAAGGAAACTTGCCCAACATTTCGCCCTGCTGGGAATCAAACCCAGGTCTCTCGCTTGTGAGGGGAGTGCTCTAACCACTCAGCTACAGGACTCCACACAGACAAACAACACTGTCAAATGTCCTCCTGCCTGCTGCCTTTGAGGCTGTTTTCGACAGTAACAACATGTAATTGGCAACCAATGTCATTTTATGTTTTTCCCCCGTGTGTGGTAATTTACCACTTAAAAAGCCATCAAATGAAAACATATTTTTCATAATATGTTTAATTAAGCAATTTACCCAGCCAGAAATTAGGCCCTTGACTCTTCTAACTACCATATGGTAATGTTGCACAAATAGCAACTTTAACTCACATAGTCAGGATGCTGATGTTTGTTATTATTATTATGCTTATAAAGCAAAGAAAGGATCCATTGAGGAGGAGATGGCTAGGAAACATTGATGGGACTTATTTACTAAACCACAAAGAATTAGCTTGTGACACCATGCAGGTCCGATTTCTGATCTGCACTGAGCTAGTAGTACAAGGTTTACCGTAGTGACTGTGGATTCTTACACGAATGCAGCAGCCAATTTGTGCACAGATGTCAAGTGAGTGACCAATTTTATGTGGTCTGTAATGGGATGGGGGGGCAATGTTAAACAGCAATGTTAAAACAGAAATCTGAGGACATAGAAGTTGCTCAAGCATTTGCCCAAAGGGTATGTGCTCAGAAACATCTACAATCATGTCGAGCCTTGTCTCAGTCAAAGTAAGTGAACTCGATTATAAATTGTGACTGTGGAATAACTGCTGAAATTTGTGAATATTCACATGGATTAGTGACTCAATATATGAATTAGCGACTTACTTTTCGCTCAACATTTTAAATTCAGCTCAGCTAAAACTTGAAAGGAAATAAAAAACTTAGGAAAGTTCGACTGATAAACAACAACAACAAAATTACATTTGTATTGCGCCTTTCACGTCAGGAGCACATCCCAAGGCTTTGGATAATCAGTGTTTTGGACCTGAGCTGGGGGTCGGGATCGGGAAGGGTGGGTGGCGGGGGGGGGGGGGGGGAAGGAGGGTACGGTCGAAGAAGAGGGTCTTGAGACTGGTCTTGAAGGAGGGGGTGAGGCAGAGGGACTGCGGGATAGAGTTCCAGAGGGTGGGGGCAGAGTGGCTGAAGGCCTGCCCACCAATCGAGAATACCAGTAAGAACATACGAACATGGTATGGAAGGAACACAGGATGGTGCATATTAAAATGTATGTGTTGTTTACACCATCGTACCAAATGGAGGACAAGTCAGAACAAGTATGAGAATAATCTTCCAGTCCATCTCCTGTTTGGGAACATGACATTTATTTTTGCAAATCAATAAATTTACCCTTGAAGGGGGAGTTTTTTTTTGCTACCTTGCAACAATAATTGTCATTACTTGGCTCCAAAACAGTCATCGAGATGTTACTTTCTCAGAGTTGCAATGCGATTTTTCCAATGTGATTCATGTCTTTTATTTATAAATGGAAGGAAATTCTTCCCCTAAAACTGTACAGTGTTTGGAGGTCAGGTTGTTTAGTTTTTCATTAAAATGAAGAACTTAGTCAATGGTTCCGAATTTCAAATATCTGTCGTCAGATATAGATCGCAGTTTTAGATTAACACTGATCTTTGTTCCTCTTCCAAGCAGAGGTGATCTCTAACTTGTGTCCCCATTTATCTTTGTTGCAACAAAGCACTGTACACCCAAACTTCAAACTCAGCATTAAAATCTCAGTCTGTTCACCTATGAACATAAGGAAACAAGAAAAGGACATTCCCCCCATCAATCTCGCTCCCCCCTGCACTGCCTTACAATAGCAAAGTCATCGTGGACTATAGGAGTTCAAAACAACAGCAAATTATATTTGTATAGCGCCTTTCACTGCACCGCCAGTTCCTGAAATTAATTAACTCGGATGATAAGGCTTTAAATCTTCGATCAACCCCTCTGGCTGTATGGTTCTGTACCAATTATTGAACAGATCCAGTCCTATAACTCTCATGTCAAGTGTAATTTTACCAAGTGCTGTACCGTAAACTCCCAATAACTTGGGTTATAAATTAATAGATGCTATTTTATTACTCTCTAGATTCACAGAATTTACAATGTGTAGGTAAGCATACGTGGAACTTTATTTTGGTTTGGGTGCTCATGAAATAGCGACTTACTTTTCGCATGTGTCAGACACCAGGCTGCCCACCCCCACCCCCTACAAAAAAAATACTTTGTTGAAAGTTGCATAAGACAAGCATAAGATCAAAAATCAAACTTATTTCCTACATGATAAACTATATATGATAAAATACTAAATATCTATGATACACATTATACAGTATTTACAGAGCAACATAGAACCTGAAATGATGCTTTGAATGGGGTGAATGAGTCCTCCAGTGGTGGCAGAATGTAATGCTATTTGTAGTCCTTATTTGATTTAACTTTTTTTTAACATGTTGCACATGATTCAGCCAACTCGGCAGAGATGAACGTGTGGAGCAGTTATTCCAAATGCCCTGTTTTAAGTAGAACAGTGTTCCTCTTTAAGGAGATAAAATGAAATGAGTTCAAGCCAGTTCAGTCCATGTCCCAGTGGATGCAAGTTCACAACACACAGCTGCCTCTGAGTTCAGTACTGAATCAGCTTTCGGATGTTTGGAGGCCAAGAAGTAATGAATCTTGGTAATATCCCACTGGTGAAGTAAGGATTGTTTTTACCTGGCCTGGGGGGATGGGAGTAAGGTAAAAGAGCAAGGAGCAGGGGGCAAGAAGAGAAAGAAAAACAGGGAATAATCTAACCCCAAAGTGTTTGAAGTTATGATTGAATCCATTAACTACAGAAGAAGAAATCAACCCAATAGTTTAATAGACGTCTTGTATTTTGTATTATACATAATATATTGATAGTGTCAGATAGTGTCAATATTATGTTATGATCACAGACTTTGAATTGCGTGCTGAATGTTAGTTCTAGATGCCTCCTAAGATCCTTCAGATGAACCCAACAATCTCCCTATCTCTCTCTCTCTGTCTCTCTCATGCTCCTCAAAACCGAAATGAAAACATCCTTTACAAATTACAGGATGTTGACTGAGGCGGTGTTTATTCCGAAAAAATTGCAGTACTCCTTATTTTTTTTAAAGAAGGGAGAGAAATTTAAGAAACGATACTGCAATAGGGCTAGACAGATGGTTTACATTAACTGTACTGCTTTGTAACATGCCATTTTTCTCTCTGCTAGCAGTCCAGTACAGTGCAGGCTCTTTGGTTGGTGAATTATTCTGCTGTGATCTGCTCCGTGTAGCAAACGTGTTGCTGTGAGCTAGCTGAGCACTAGTCTCCTTCCTTCTGTAAGTATTGCCGATTTGGGTGTCTGGTGATAATAACTTAATGCAATTTTTAAACTCATAAATAACATTAGTTGAAGTACACGGGGTGTGTTAGCAAGATTTACTGCGCAGAGCAGAACAGCAGCTTACCCCAAACTAGGCTGTGGTAAGGAACAGAAGCTATGTAAACTTTTTTTCTCTCTTGTCTTAATCGAACCTTTATTCAGGACAGAAACCAGAATAGAGAGAGGAGAGAGAAAGAAAGAGACGTGATGAGAGGCTAATGTCAAGTCCACAATCAATAGCCCTAACTTTTTATCTCCTCTGTTTCTGCCTCTTTTGTTCCAAAACAACCCCCCATCCCTCCCTCCTTCCTCCCCCACCCCTCCTTTCCTTCACTCCCCCTTTTTGCCCTTTTGTTGGCGTCCTGTTATTTTTTTCTCATCCCCACCTTCAATCATAAAACAGCACAAAACAGATGGTCTGATGTGCTGGAAATGGAATTTAAGAGTTGCGTAAGACTCTGTGTCAGCCTCTATAATCTGGGATCCGGCTGAGATGTCAGGAGTCTCGGCCAACAAGGAGCAACAGTCTGGGGACAAGGGAATGGGATGCAACTTGAAAAGTATTTAGAGCGAGCGAGCACAGATCGAAGAAAGAACAAAAAAAATAGAGGTTATTTCACTTCCCAACCTTTCAAACCAGGGTAAGCCATTACTGTGTACCATTCTGAATTTGATTATCCTGCCACCAGGCATTTAAAGTATGCAGAGCCTACGCTTGAGTTGAAAAGATTCTTGTGTATGGTGCTTCTCAATTTGCAGCCGGGACATGTGCTATTTCCATCGAGAGCTAACGGTAGGATATACAGTCTGAAGCCTTCAACCCACAAAGAGCTTGATTCCGTCATGCTTTGCAGCACGTTATTGTCAATTCGCAAATATGTTTTTAAATTGTGTTCAAGCGGTGCCTGGCTCTTTGCTAACACCGTATTTTTCTATTGAATACCACAGGAAAAGAACGTATGTATTGCTTTAAAGGTATTGGGCCTGTCCAATGTAGAAATAAATAGGGTTGAAATTCAGCCATGAAGATAGGACAGGCCAGCGTTTATTAGAACCATAACTGATCATATTACTTTACAGTGTTCCAATTGTTGTCCCTAGAAACCATTAAAAGATCTCCCACTGTATGAATTTTTGAGGCTGGAGAATTTGCAATTTCTGCAGCTTTTCAGACAGTTCTGCTTCCCCTCCCCGCTGGTGTTTAAACGGACACACAATCACTGAATCATTCACACCCAGGGTACATTAATCTGAATGGATTGGTTCTGTTAAACGGTTGCTGCATAAGGGGTAGGTGATGATGTTCGTTACTTAATAATAATGTTAATAATAATAATGTTAATAATCCTGCATTTGATATTGCGCCTTTACGCCATTGAGACGTCTCAAAGCGTTTCACAGGATATACTGTAAAGTGGATTCACTGTGTATTTTGTGAGCAATGCCTCACAAACAACCATGGAGTGAGTGACCAAATTTATTTTGCGGGATTGTTGACCAGAATACCGGGAGAAACTCCCTTTTCTTTACAAGTAGTGCGGTGGGATATTTTAACCCCCACCTGAACGGGAACCTCGGTTTAATGTCCTACCCGAAGGACGGCACCTCCGACAATGCAACCTCCTCCATCGCTGCATTGGAGTGTCGTCTGTGTGATTCCAAGTCCCGAAGTGGAGCTTGAACCCACAATCTTCTGACTCGGCGGCGAGAGGGCTACCACTGCGCCAGGCTACTTGGAGCCCTTAACGTGAGTGAGAAGCACAGATGGAAACGTTTCATATTTTTAAAACAACGCACATTTGCACACCTTCTAGTCATTTTGAGGAGAGAGCTGAGCTTTGTGAACCGCAGTTAATGTTTATCATAACTGAAGCAACTCTTTAACATTTCAATGTGGTTCCCATCGAGGTTATGTCCTGGCCAGCAGCTGTTTTCTATTTGTTTTTTTATTATTTACAAAATAAATACATTTCCGCGGCCACCATCCGTTTTTTCTTTCCATTAAGACAAACTGCATAAAAATTTGCCCGGTGGCAAGACGCCATTTAGTTCAATGCCACATTGCTGTGGTTTCTGAACTGTACGATTTGTGGGAAGGATTTACTTTCGCATGCATCATTTTCATCTTACAAGACCGAGTGGATACGCTTGATAAAAGCTTTTAAGAACAAGGTATCTTTCATCCTGTAAATATTATTTGATACTTTGGTCTTGGCTCTTAGCTCGAACAGTTTATTACCTTGTAAAAGTGCTTTTCAGTCAGTACTGAGGGAAACAGCATCATTGAACAATACTCCTGTAACATCAATGACTTGTTTCCAGTTTATTTGAGAGTGGTTGTATCTTCTTTAAGGTTCAACATTATGCAAACTTGAAGTAAGCGTGGATACATTTTGCCTACGCACCGAATCCTTCACTCAACAAACAAAACAGCGCCTTTCACATTGGGAGGACGTCCCAAGGCGCTGGACAATCGAGGGTTTGCACCCGAGCTGGGGGGGGGGTTGGAATTTAGAGGGGTGGAGAGCAAGGGGAGCGGGGCACGGGAGGGTTAGGCACCGAAGGCACGGTCAAAGAGGAAGCTCTTGAGAAATTCAATAATTAATCATAATCCTTGCGTCTGATGTTGCAACTTATCATTGCCCTAAAACGCTTCACATTGTTTACTCTGACGCGTAGTGACTTAGTAACATCCCACAAACGAGTGGGGGATTGTTGACCTGGACACGGGGTGGCGGGGGTGACCATCCCTTCTCTTATCGAAGAGTGCCGTGGGATCATTAACACCTCCCCGAACAGGCAGACGGGACCTCGGTTTAACGTATCATCAATAGGACAATGCAACGGGGGACCAGCATGGATGGCCCTGCGCTATCAGCAGAGATTACGGTCTCAGAGTCTCCACGTGGTGTCTGAGCCCACAAGCTTCTGACTTCAGAATGAGAACGCTTATGGGGGAGTGCGCGACGACGGTTGATTATTTTTGCGCGCGCCCCCGACCTTCTTTTCTGCTTACAACAACAAGAAAAATCCCTGCGTTGGACACGGCGCCTGATCACGCCTTCGAGACGTCTCAAAAAAGCGCTTCACCGAACCCGCTGTGGAGTGAATTGACTGCATATGTTGTGGGCGAAACGCGGCAGCCGATTTGCGCAGGACAGTGTCTCGCACAAACGGGCGTGGATTGAACTGACCGAATTAGTACTTAATTGAATTTAATTGATTTGTTTCCGTCAGGAGGAAATGGAGCAGAGGCTGAACACTCATTTTGTTTTCTTGCTGCTGATCGAGGCCACGGTCGGCCCAACCTGCGTCGATGGCTTAATCCCCAGGAATCCCCTGGAGCCCCATGTCGATCTGCTGAACGGTGAACGGAACGAGCAGGAGTATTACCACAGCATAAGCCCTGACTCGGAGCCGTACAAGCCGGTCAAGGACGGGCCTGGCGTGGGACCGAGCCAGCCCGCCAGCAAGCCTGCGGGGGACGCTGGCCAGTGCGTGCGATGCTGCGATCCGGTCGGATACCCGTCGTCGCGTCGCCACCAGCGGTACAACTTCTACAGCAGGGACCCGCCCGAGTTTCAAGCCATCCCTCAGATCAACCTTACTATTCTCAAAGGTGAGGCGAACAGAACAAATGGAAGCCGGCGCCTCTTTTTTTGTTTTATCTTCCGGTCGGCCGGGTGTCTTGGGACGTCCTCCTGGCGTGAAAGGCGCCATACAAATGTAATCTGTTGTTGTTGTTGTGGTGGTGGTGGTGGCGGTGGTGGTGGTGGTGGCTGGCACGTGCCATAACCCACAGCCGCAATGGATGTTGAAAGTAGAGACAGTTGACTTCCCAGTTAGTGCAGGGTATCCTCACTACAACCCGGTCGTGGCCCAGTTGCCCGGGTTCTAAGTGAAGTACGAAAACATGGCCGACTTCTGGGACTCCCCCCACCACCCCCCTCCCCTCTCAACCCACCCCACCCCATCCCATCCGCCCGCTGACATTCTTTCCTGTGAGGTTGAACACATTCACGAGCAGCAAATACTACAACAGTCACTTTGTCAAGTGATTCCTTCGCAGGGTGTAAATACTGTACGTGCAACATGCAGGAGCTGCCTTGTGTGACCGTCTGATGTTGTGACCTCCCGTACGTCACCGTGTTATCCAAGCTTGCGCTAGCAAAAGAGGAAGAGATGATGCAGACATGTAAATGAGATTGAAACGCGGACCACAAAAAGAGGAATTATACTCATGTAGCTTAAAGACATGAGAACAGGAAAGACGTGTGTGTGCGCGTGCGTGCGTCAATGATATGACAACTTGCACTTATATAGTGCACTATATATATACTTATATTGCCTGCAGGATAGCTTGATAGTGGAAGAGCCTGACTCTGAGTCGAGGGGAGGAGGCGGGTGGTGGGGGGGGGGGTGTTGGGGTGTTTCAGGTGGGCCTTGAAAAAGGGGAGAGAGAGGGGGCAAGGTGGAGGGATTGAGGGAGGTTTCAAAAATAACCAAGCAGCATTTACTGTAAGTGGCATAATCAGATTGATTGAACTTCATTGACATCTTATGTGATGAAGTATTCACGCTATTGAGCTGAACCTTTTTAGTGCTGTGTAGCAAACATGAAAACGGTTCCAGGAAAGCTATCCAGCATCTCAGCACAATGTGCTATATGGTTGGAGGTCTGACCTGCCTAGAATCGAAGAGGAACTTGGCTCCAGATTGCTGACCTACGGGAGATTCAGCAGTTCCCTGTCTGGCACCCCACTTGCCAACAAAAACTTAATTTGCAAGCTAGGATCCGACATTGGCTTCATGGTTGCAACGTTTCCAACAGTGTCAATGCTGCAAGGCACAGGGATGAGTAAAGCAACTGAAAGACTCTGTGGGAAATCTATCCAAAGAAAACATCAGCAGAGTTAGCAACGTTTGACCCCGGAAAGAATGAGCAAAAAAAAAAGGTCATGAAAAAAAACACTTTTTTTGAAATCCTGTATTTTTTTAGGTCAGCTGGTTATATGACACATGTAGGAAAGCTTCACCAAGTCCAACCACTGAAAGTGCCACGTATTAAATTGGCGGCTGCTATTAGTAGTGTGTCAGTATTTATAGGAGAGAGAGCCAAACACAAAATCCATTTAGTCATAGAAGGTGGTGTGTCAGGTGAGTAACTATACCTACCCCGATCAAACTGGGGTAGATATTGGGGGTAATAATCCCTTTAAAAAGCAAGAAAAAATAATGATTGGGTCACTCAATCCACGACTGTTTGTGGGACACTGCTGTGTTCAGTTGTCTCCGCGTCTCGCCCACAAAATATACAGTCAATTCTCTTTACGGTATATTCTGTGAAGCGCTTTGAGACGTCCTGACAGACTGTCTGTCTGACATCAAGTCCTGGGTGAGAGACAACTTTCTACAGCTGAATGTCAGCAAGACTGATTGGAGGGCCTCAGTCTTGCTGACGTTCAGCTGTAGAAAGTTGTCTCTCACCCGGGCACTGGCAGCATCAGCATCCACGGTTAGACACGCCTCCTCTCCAAGCCCGTTAGGAACCTGGGCATCTTGTTTGACCCTCAACTGTTCTTTCTCCCCCATATCCGTACCATGGCCCACTCTGCCTTCCCCCAACATTGCCCGAATCCGCCACTGCCTCACACCTCAGGCCACCGAAACCCTCATACATGCATTTGGCACCTCGAGGCTCGATTACGGAAACACCCTCCTTGTCGGCAACTCTTCCCTCCACCAGCTACAGATCATCCAGAACTCTGCAGCTCATGCCCTCTCCCACACCAGGCTCCATGACCCCATCACACCCACTCTCGCCCGGCTCCACTGGCTTCCCATCCCTCGGAGGATAGAATTCAAAATCCTCGTCCTCACTTTCAAAGTCCTCTGTGGCCTTGTCCCGAGCTACATTTCTGACCCGCTGAACCCCTATCAACCTGTCCGTTCCCTCCGCTCAGCAGGCTCTGGCCTGCTCCATGCCACCCATCCGAAATGCCCCGTACCATCTGCGGCCGGGCTTTCAGCCTTTCTGCCCCCATTCTTTGGAACTCCATCCCACAATCCCTTCACCTCGCTCCCTCTCTTGCCTGCTTCAAGGAACGATTCAAGACCCTCCTTTTTGACCGTGCCTTCAGCCGCCCTCCTACTCCCTCTGCCCTCCCTCATCCCAAACCTGCCCCCCCCACAGGCTCGGGTCCTGATCCCTGACTGTTCAGCGCCTTGGGACGTCTTCCCAATGTGAAAGGCGCTTTACAAATGTAATTTTGTTGTTGTTGTCTCGAAGACATGATAAGGTGCTATATCAAATGCAAGGATTATTAATATTATTATTACTTGTTTGCAATTTCAAGCAAAATTTGAGGTTAGAGGAAATTGAGCTGTTCACATCCAAATAGGTTGATATTTGTTGACTGAAATTCCATTGTTTAACATATTCCATGTGACATTTACCACACTGTTAATGTACAGTCAATTCACATTACAGTACATTCTGGGAAGTGCTTTGAGATGCCTCAAACAAGCAATAAGACACTATATATCAAATGCAAAGATTATTATTATTGATTCCATTATCGCAAGATTGGTTTGGAGGAATAACGTTCTTTGGTCCATTTGATCTTATCCTTCCAGAATAGCAAACCTACCGTGTTCCCATCACATCATCGAGCTCTTTCTTAAATGACTCCTCAACTGCCCTTCCTGGTAACCTGTTTCAGCTATTAATTGCCTTTGGGTAAATAAATATTTCCTGGTGTCTATTATGAAATTGGCCATTTGCGCACAGCATTGTCCCACAACCAGCCATGAAGCAAATGAACGATTCACTTTACAGTATATTCTGCGAAGCGCTTTGAGACATCTCCAAGACTTGATAAGGTGCTGTATCAAATGCAAGGATTATTATTATTATCCAAAGCTACCACAAAGGAAGGCGGTGCAGAATATAAAAGGAACGTCAGCGCTGAATATGTTCACCAGATGGTTATAAAAGAAAATCAGGATCAATGTGGTCTGCCTTTTTCGGAAAATAAAAAATTCAGTTCGTAAATATTATTATGGGTCATTGCTGTGCATAAATCGGGTCTTGTGTTCGCCTTCAAATACAAGTGCTTTGAGTTGTTTCGATAATCTGAAAGGCACTCTTTCGAATGCGAGGTTATTATTTTTCTTATTCATAATAAGTGAGTGAGTGTCTCACAGTGATTTACAGCTGTGTTCAAATGGGAGTTGCTGGTCTCAAACCTGTTGGTGCATATTGAATGAAGTTGTGTGAATTCACAACAATTTACTGTACAATTTACCTGACGTTAATTTCCCCACCAAGCCAGTTTGGTGAAAGGCCTGAAATTCCTTATGATTTTGGCCTTAAGACAATTTAACCAGCTTGTCATAGTGAACAGTGGCAAGTCCCCTGCTGATTGTTCAGCTGGAAACCACCCTAGTCGTTCGGGTTTTGGGGTTCAAATGAAGATCAAACAAAATTCCATGAAATGGAGTGAAATCTGTGGCATTTCCAGCACCTTGGGACGTCCTCCCGACGTGAAAGACGCTATACAATGTAATCTTGTTGTTCTAAATATAATTCTAAATAATGGAGCTAGACTTTCTACCCGGAGAGCTGTTATGGTCTGGAACGCACTGCCTGATAGGGTGGTGGAAGCAGATTCGATAGTAGCTTTCAAAGGGAATTGGATGGGTTTTTGAAAAGGAACAATTTGAAGTACTGTGGGGTAAGAGCAGGGGAGTGGGACTAGTTGGGTAGCTCCTTCAAAGAGTTGGCACAGGCACGATGGGCCGAATCACCTCCTTCTGTGCTGTAAGATACTGTGACTGTACGATTCTAACTCAGGTGTGCTGTAGAGCCATTTGGGGGTTTGGTACATCGCTTCCTGGGTGGTACAAAATGCCAAACTTTGTGTTGATCTCAATTACCTCCTTATCGTTGTATAAACTGAAAAATAATCCCTTGGGTCGGTTGGTCAGATTTTTGTCAAACTACGTTGTTGTTGCCAGTTTTTGAATCTGTTAATGTGTTATTTTTCTCCTCCTATTTAGGCGACAAGGGGGATAGTGGGGAACGAGGTTCATACGGTCAGAATGGAAAATCTGGAGGTCTTGGACCTCGGGGTCCTGCGGGTGCGAAAGGTTTTAAAGGAAATACGGGGAGGACTGGCGATCCGTGCAAGCTATACTATTCTGCTTTCTCTGTCGGTCGCAAGAAAGAGCTGCACAGCAATGACTACTATCAGACATTGATATTTGATACGGAGTATGTCAATTTGTACAATCATTTCAATATGTTCACGGGGAAGTTCTACTGCTTTGTCCCAGGCATTTATCACTTTAACCTGAATGTGCACACCTGGAACCAGAAGGAAACCTACATGCACATCATGAAGAACATGCAGGAAATGGTCATTCTCTACTCCCAGCCCAGTGACCGCAGCATCATGCAGAGTCAGAGCATTATGATGGATCTGAAGAAGGACGACGAGGTCTGGATTCGACTTTACAAAGGAGAGCGGGCGAACGCCATTTTCAGCGATGGCTTCGATATGTACATCACCTTCAACGGTTACCTGATTAAAGCAGCCAGCGAGATCTGAATAAGCCACAAACAATAATAAACTTTGCATTTGATATAGCTTATCTTCGAGACGTTTCAAAGCACTTCACAGAATACATTCTAAGTTGAAATGACTGTGTATTTTGTGGGCGAAACGCGGCAGCCAATTGCGCCCAGCAGCGTCCCACAAACAGTTGTGGTTTGAGTGATCATTTTTTATTTTAAGGAATTGAACAGATTATTGTTCCATTAACGTGAAGGAATTGCCAGGAAGCAGGAAAAAAGGATAATGGATATTAAAGGGTAGCTCCAGGTCTCTGAGCTTTAAAATTGTTTTATGTCTCTCTTGCCTTGACTTGCATTGGCTCTGAAAAACGCCCCTTTAACAACCCGTTCGGTTGCATTTGATACAGATATAGCGCCGTAATCATGTCAAAACACCTCAAAGTGCTTCACAGAGTTTTTGTGCCAATTGTGTCACATTCTAACTCGGTTTGGCTCAGTGGTAGCACTCTCATTTCTGAGTCAGACGGTTGTGGGTTCAAGCCTCACGGCGGGACTTGAAATCACAACGTCTAAGCTGACACTCAGTGCAGTGCTGGGAGTGTGTTGCATTGTCGGTGTTGCCGTTCTTCAGATGAGACATTAAACTGCCTGTCCAGATGCCCGTTAAAGATCCAGTTGCATAATTTGAAAAGAGAAGGGAGTTTCTCCCAGTGTTCTGGCCAACAATCCCCCCAAATGAAAAAAGTAGTCACTCACTCCATAGCTGTTTGTGAGACATTGCTGTGCGCAATTGGTTGCCACATTTCACCCACAAAATACATAGAGAAACTACTTTACAGTAAATCCTGTGAAGCGTTTTGAGATGTCTCGACGACGTGATAATGCAATATCAAATGCAAGGATTATTATTACTATTATTATTATTATTATTATTATTATCATCCTATGGACAATTCATACCTGAAAAGTTTTTCAAAAGATGTGTGCTACTCTGACCTCTGTATTACTGACCTCTGGGTTTTTTTTGGCTATATGAGCCGATTTGATTGGATCTGGAATTTGTGTACTTTTCATTTGTGTGGACGGGTCTGAAGAATCTCTTTAACACATCTGCCTGTGTGATCTTTGACACTGTGCCTGCTACAAACCTAACTACAGTATATAAAAATATTTTGCAATACCTCTTCCTATCGCCAACACCCATGTTTATTTTATTTTTCTTGTGCATCTTCCAGTGCTCATTTTAGTTATCCTCAGCTGACTTATGCAGCTCTCCCAATTTCTCTGTTATTTTTTCATCGCTTGTATCATTCAAACTATCATTTTTCCTCATTATTTTGTTTCTTTTTTGATCTCATTAACTCACCCTCTATGGCCTTCATCCCTTTTATTTGACCTCATTTCTTCAGCATGAAATAAGCGCAAAACAGCGCTCACTTAAACTTTACAGTTAAGATTGTTTCCAGATGTTAGAGCGCGTTTGCTGTGGTTATAAAACAGAGGGATTACTGGCAATTGGATGTGAAGGCATTTGAAGTAAGAATGCTCTGTAATTCTGAAAAGGAGCAGGAAATGAAATTTGGTCAGTACAGTGGTAATCACTGTCTTGATGCCCTCATTTTGCTGAGGTTTGAAGTTTATTGCCTCATTGAAACAGTCCAATTCCATCCTCCAACTCTTGTGCTTTCAAGACTCTCTTGCAGTTATATCATCACACACTGAATGCCAAGAATCCAATGTTCCTCTCGTTTATTCCAGAGTAACTGTTCCAGATAAGTAATGTTGGCAGTCTTCTTTCCAGACTGCGAGGTTGGCAGCTAACCGGATGACATCTAACTTGATACTGTTTTTTTAAGAGAACATAGTTAAATGAATATGTGGAAATATTATTGTACCCTCACCAGAAAAAAGTGTCGTAAGATGTTTTCCTAACATTAATTAGAGTAAGGGAGCAAAAAAAAAGTTATCTCTCGCACGGCGCAGATAAGGACAATTGTCTTTTGAGGTGAAATGAAACTTTTAAAAAGTCCTTACATTTGATTTAGCAATCGGGATGATGTCCGAAAGCACTCACAGGATTTTACTGAAAAGTGTAGTGACTATGTACTTTGTAGGCAATTGAGGCAGCCATAATTGCACACAGCTATGCCTCACAAACAGGCTTGGTGTGAATGACCAATTGTTGGCATTGGCTATGCATCTGAATGTCTATTTTCATTGATCACCACATAGATTTCCTGCAGCAGTACCTCTGTGTGTGTGAGTGTGTGTGAGAGAGTGTGTGTGTTCAGCATTTCAGATCTAATTCTGAACCCAGCAAATGTAAATTAGGAATCTATTAAGTCTTAATAATTAAAGGATCCCATGAAGAAATACCGCAAATGAGATCCTGCTGTGAGAGCAAAGCTCAGGGAGCTTTATGATGCTTATGCTATTTCCTGACTCAGGAACACTTAATGTTAACAGAGGTTGAAAGTTGAAAAATATTTGAATCCTTAGATTTGACGAATGTTGCCTTGAGATTGCGTGGGACATAAATGCTCAGAATCCCGATTTACTCTTTCTGTTTGGAATCATGGTTTCCAAGGATAAAGAGTGAAACACTGTATGCACACGTGCACAAGTACATCTGGATTGAAACACCCAAATCATCTGTAACAGAACACTACTTATTAAAACTGACGAAAGGTCATTGACCTGAAAAGTTGACTCATTTTCCTCTCTCCGTAGATGCTACCTGACCCTGCTGAGTGTTCCCAGCGACTTCTGTTTTTATTACTTGCTTATTAAATGTCCAGCTTCACAACATAGACCAAACACCTTTATAACGACTCACTTGTACTTTATTCCAAAAATAAATAAAAACCTCAGGAATAACACCTTCTCCACCTCATTCTTTATAAATAAACGTTTTTCACGGCCATTGTAGGCGAGTCCATCTAAAGTGAGTGTCTGATGGAAAGAAAAAGAAAGGTTTTGACGTTTTTCAAAAAGAGTTCATGTCACAGTGAGTCAAAAGTTACTTTTGTCTGGTATAATATTTAGGGAGAAGGGAACCCTTCCATTGGTTAATCTCAAGGAGGAACCAAACTTGTTTTTGTTAGTGTTGGGTTAAGAAATTTAGGAGACACTAAAATGTGCAGTCTGTCTCCCCTTCCAATGTTCTCCTTACTTCCGCTCTCAACATTATATGAAAATAAACAAACAGTCAGATTAGTTTCCCTCTGCATTTGTGAGCAGCAGAAAGGGATATCAGTCCATTGGAAGATGCCAAACCTTGAAGTGAATCATAACCCCACAGTAAATCATATGAGCTTTTGCCAACCATGTGTGATGGAGCTTCAATGTACCAATCCAGTCTGTGTATGTCGGCGGAGCCTCCTGTGATGTGCAGGTTGTTTGATGCTTGACGCTCAGGAGCAATTGTTTCTTAACAGTAATGTTCCCTCTGTATCCACTCTTTGGTTCAAACCTTAACAGTGAGAAGCTGTTATCAATCAGAAGATCAATTTCAATTGAGGAAGCTCTACTTTCACTGTACACTATACACACCAAGAGCTTTTATAAATACTTCAAAGTTCTCCTGAGCTTTTGATTCGATGCTTCCCAGAGAAAGTGCATGCATTGTGAAGGATTCAGGGATGTCTATGCTGCGGAAATAATAATAATCCTTGCATTTGATACAGTGCCTTATCACATCTTCGAGACGTCTCAAAGTGCTTCACAGAATATACTGTAAAGTGAATTGACTGTATATTTTGTGGGAGAAACGCGGCAGCCAATTGTGCACAGCAGCGTCCCCACAAACAGTCCTGGATTGAGCGACCAATTTATTTTTGGTTTGGCATTATTACCCCCGGAAAAGCGATCCGCCAATTGAATAACAACTGTGTTCCTACTTACTGCTAGATACGCAGAGGAGGGTGGAGGAAGGAAACTTGCCCAACGTTTCTACCGGCTGGGAATCAAATCCAGGTCTCTTGCTTGCAAGGCAAGTGCTCTTACCACTGAACTGCAGGACTCCACCTGCCTGCCTGAAATGGAGACAAAGTGGCCTGGAGACTTTCAGAGGACATCCCAAGGCACTGGACAGTGAAGGGTTGGAGTCAAGAGGGGTGGACGGCAAGCTGGGGTGGAGGTGGAAGGAATGACCGAAGGCATGGTCCGCCCGCCTTTGGTGGAGCAGGCAGAGCGGGGGACACGGAGCACGCCAGTGCCCGCTGAGCGGAGGGAGCGAGCACATTGGTAATGATTATAATGAGGTAAATCCCATAAACCGCTACCATCATCATCAACACTGCCACAGATAACGGCGCTAGGAATTTGAACCCTCACGTATGCTGTTATAACGCTGAAATTGAGTTACACAACGTTATGAGAACATAAGAACATAAGAATTGGGAGCAGGAGTAGGCCATTCGGCCCTTCGTGCCTGTGCTCCGCCATTCAATAAGATCATGGCTGATCTTCTCACCTAACTCTGATTACCTGCCCTATCCCCATATTCCCTAATCCCTCTGTTTTTCGAGAATCTATCAGTCTCAGCCTTGAAAATGTTCAAGGACTGAGCATCTACAGCCTTCTGGAGTAGTGAATTCCATAAATTATGTTGTAATCCCTGAGGTACTCTGCTACTACAATCCTCGGAAAGAGTTTACTGCATTGCTTATGGTAACTATCTTGACACTTGTATCACCCTTGCGCCTTGGGACATCCTTCCGACGTGAAAGGCGCTATACAATGTCATTTTGTATTGAATCCTTGCATGCACAGATATACTGTAGTTATAAAATAGTAGTTCTGGCTGCAGTCTCTTGAACTGTGCCCTTTGAGATGAGCTAAGAATTAGAAAGGTTTCCTACTGGTTATGTACTTTAATCAGGCTGACAGCTAGGCTGTGGCTCTGATGTACTTTTAGGCCAGTTTATGTAAGACAAGCTCAGAGCCAAATTACATTACACAACCCGAGACATAAACCCAATTGATTTCTCCTACAGTTCGTAATCAGATTTAAGTTATTTACAGCTAGTTACGTTTGAGTCACTTTGAACGCAGAATACATACTGATTAAAGCACTGCACACTGTCCC